TTTTTAAATTCATTCTCTTTTGCTGTGTAAATTTAAGGAAATATTACGGTCTCGTTACGAAACTATTCCGTCGGGATTTGTAATGTTAGATCATCGTGTAATCGTCGAGAATAGTTGATCTAACTAACTGTTACAAACTCCGACATAATAGTTCCGTAACGAGATGCACCTTATGATTTTTATTTTCTCTTTTGTTTTTGTTTTTGAATATCATTTAGGGTATATGGGCTGGCATGATCTTTGGAGGGACTGCAGTACAGACATTGGTACTCGCAATTATAACAATACGATGCGACTGGGAAAAGGAGGTAACAAAATTCGTTTCATTTCATTTATTTCCAAACAAAATTATATACTATCTTTTACTAAGAGAATTCGTTTCGTTTTCGAATTTTGATACCGATCGAATCTCATTATTTCATTTTTCCGAAAATGCAGGCGGCCATAGCAACTATGCACGTGAAAAAGTGGTCGGAAACCGGAAACCATACGTGAACAACTGTAATGTGTTGTGTGCAAACTAGAATATTTATAGTCGTTCGAATTTTTTGTTTTTCTTTATTTAATCGCTCGAGCAAAAGTCGCGTATTGTTAGCATCAACCAGAGGTGGAAATAACACAGATGCATCCCAAAATGTAATGTTATGATGATGTTATGTAGAAAATGAAGTTTCGATTTTACTAATATTTCATCATGAACTCACTGAGTCGAGAGTACATTTGCCATTTTTATTTTGCTGTGAACAAATTTACTCGTCACTTACGCGTGTTTTTCAACTGTGATGATAAGAAGCAAATGAGAAACAATATTATACCTCAGCTGCTAATGTAAGTTTGTGATTCGATCGGCTCTATACATCGTAGAGAACATATAAGCTGCACGCCGGGCCAAATATCTGCACTAACTTATAAACCGTGTACGCAAAAGATGAACAACCCGCGAAAAACAAAAACAATAATAATTAAGTAAAAAAACAAAAAGATCCTGTGACTTATGACTTATTGCAGAGGTCTTTCATCATATAGATTGCAATGAATCGCAGTCGATGAAAATTGAACACACGAACCTTTTTTTTTGTTTTTTTTTTTTAAATATAGGATTTACAATTTTGTTGAATTTCGAAATATGAAACACAAAAGTAAGTCTCTTACCAAGTTGTAGTTGAAGAAAGTTGTTTTGTATGTTCCACTCGAAATCCTAATGCTTACGGTCATTCTTCAATGTCCAGTAAGCCCATCCAAACGAGGCTTCATTATATATCTCCAATTGGGCTCGTCCGAATTCTTCATAATCAGTCCGAGATGCACCGGTTATGATCCACTCATTCACCCATTCCCCTGTGCCCAAGTAATAACAGAGCTAAAACTACTCGTAAGCAGATTATTGAGCCAAACTAATAGAAACAGAAATTAAACGTAATAGTAAAAGCAAGAAATACAAACCTACCAACAAACACGAGTGGTCCGTTTGCATTATTGAGAGCTTGCAACTGAATCGCTCGGTTGCTATATATAAACTGAATGTTATCTGAAGAGGTCATGTTGGAGAAAAACGAATCGAACAAATTGTAGTAATGAGAATCGATAACCGTGTTCGCATTGCTTATATTGGCATGGAAGAGCTCAAATGGGTCCGCATTTCCGATTCTTTGACAGAATATAACATAAGCAGCAGATGAGTAATTTCTAACAATTTGGTAACCTTGTTTGTAATATGAAACTAGTGTGTCCAATGGGACTAAGGCTGCAGATGGCTCGTTTAATAGCTCGATACCCAGTAATGAAGGATGTCTTGCATACCTGCGCAAGAACAAATGCATGTCTTTATATATATTCTATGTTCTCCTAAATCCTAATTACTACAGGTAAACTCGTTAAAGTACCTTGAAGCAAGAAAATCTATGACATGTAAAGTTTGTGAGATATAATCAACTGATGAGGGCCATCCCGTCGTTCCATCTCGGCTAGAACTGTGTTCTGCCCCATTCTGGGAGCCTGGTGCAGCATGAAGGTCAATTATGCACTTCAGGCTGAAGGTTCTGCACCAAAAGATTTCTGACAGGTCAAAAAAGCCAACAATTAACAATAAGTAGAATAATTAGTTTAAAGGAAAATTAAAATATCGACTTACATTTTCGCCCAACTGTTATATGTTCCAACAAAATTGGCAAACATTTTCAAAGCGTCTTAAAAATATCTACTGTAACCCCACTTCTTTTCCGACTATTCGTAGCATTTAGAAAAGTTAAGGAATGTAAAAGTACGAGTAAATGCTAAACGAAAGTTGAGGGCTTGTCTGTAATATTTAACTAAAATGAGGGGTTGCAAGCAGAAAAGTATCTATAATGTTACAATGTAAGGTGAGGAGTGTCATCTCAAGTGTTATTGTTCTCTAATTTCCAAGTTCGAGTTCCTTTGTAATTTGTAGTGCAATTATTCCATATTATTTAGGAACCAAAACGTTTCCTTCATTAAAAAAAATATATATATATATATACATACTGTGCCCAAGAAAATGCATTGTCAAGAGCTTCAAGACTTCCCCCAATAAAAGGAGGCGGGGGATCGGGATCATAAGCTATCCACCAGCCAACTGGGATTCGCACTGTATTTATTCCATGTCTATATAAGAATTCAAAATCTTTTGCCGTGATGAAAGTGTCCCTATGCTTCTGCAAAGGCAAATATACAAGATAAGTATGAAATAAGACTAAATTTTAAGGACCTTGTAAAAGAAAGTACAATAGCACATCCAAGATGCTCGAAAATTCGCACACACAAAGGGGTGTAATAGTTATAAAATGGAAATAAGAGTCCATATATTCCAAAGACAATAAAAAATTCATAAACATTTAGTTGCGACCAAAAAAGAGCTAACCTTGTAGACTTCTTGTGCCTTATCATGTCCATATCCATTGGCAAGCTGGTAGTCTCCATGCAGAGTATTCGAGACGATTATCAGCTGAAATGTGGCAGCATTATCATCCCAACCGGGTGTCCCTCGATAGTCCGCTGTGAGCTTGTTGTCTTTTGAAGCCTAAACAAATCGAACATATTATACTATCATGCATTATCATGTGCTTTTTTAACAGTCTAATGGTTTGACTTATACATTCGTGTCAACAAACCATTAACCGAAAAAATTACCAACTATGCTTGAAGTTTAGTTTAAGCACAAAGGTACAATTATGTCACAGATTTACGTATACCTCCTCCTGTATTTTACAAATTACAAACCTGTTCTGATATTATACAAATTCCACCAAATTCACCTTCACAAACATTATTGAAATATTTCAAACAGATTTTTCCTGATCAAACACAAAAATATTATTACCTGCAAATATGTTCCTGTCTTGAGCTTAATATGAATCTGGTTGTCTTTATTCCTTTCCACATAAAATGTTTCTGTATCTGATGCTAACCCTGCTGTTGCATTCATAAAGTTACCATCTCCACCACAAGACAGATATTGGCCTCCATACGTGCGAAACTGGAAAATCGACTCCGAAACCCTCCATAACTGCATAATGAACAAATCGAATTAATAAGTCTCTGAAGGTCAATTCTTGTAAAGGAAAACAATTATGAAATGTACATTCTAACAGTTCGAAAAAAGAAAGCTATTAAGTTTCTTTGTCAGAAGTTTCAACAATTTGATGTGTAGCAAGCTAAACTGGAATCTCATCTTTAAAATATTATTGATTTACAATAGAATACGACTCCAAAGAAAAAATAATACTGCTACTATTGCGTATTTACATATTCGAGTCCAACTAACAGAATAAAAACATAATGAATTATGATAAAATTGACAATCTCAGTTGCAATACATTCCAGCACTATAAACCAGAAACGAAAAAAATTTCAATATACTGGAAGGAAATTACCCATGGAACTGATCCTAGCCTGATAAGCTTAAATATTGTCAATAGTTCCAGCAAATAGATGCCTCATTCTGATTCAAATTTACTAGTAAGACATACAGCATACAGAACTTCTACATCAGAACAATAGTTCATGAGTTAAATTTTAAAATATAAGGCTATAACTATAGCATAATGCTGTGTGAAGCCACAAGTAGAAGTTTGAAGAAATGTAACAGCTAATCTACTGCAAGTACTAAACGATAAGTATGAGCAGATTTTGATTTCAGACCCGAAATGTTTCCCAAGAAAGAGGAATGTCACGGTCAACCGCAACCGTTGACCCACCACCATTCTCAGCCGACACGTACTTGTTAGAAATCACTGATCTGAACTGAACCTCTGTTCCATCCTACACATTGCAACCACAAGAAACCCATGAAAAATGTGGGATTTTGACCGAAATTGACGATTTGCAAAGAGCCCACTGAAGAATTAGGACAATCAAGAAAAACCCCGTGTCATATTCGACTAATTATAAAACCTCTCGATATTTGTGGTTACATTACAACTTATATCCCCTTAAATTTAAAACAAAAACCATACCTTACAAAAACAAAGTAACAGGGGTTAAAAAGATAGATATTGAGGCAAGAACTTACAAGCATGTCCCCGTTAGGGATACCATCAAAAAGAGAAGGCTTAATCCACCCCTCAATTACCAGCCAACCACCCAAATTCACTCCTCTTACTCTTGCATTCCCATGTAAACCCTCCACTTTACACCACATCAAATGCAACAAAAATACAATAAACTAATCAATCAAACATCTAACAGATTATAATAATATGTTCTTTATAGATTTTTCTAACAGAGAAAGCTAAAACAAAATGATAAACAAAAGAGGGATTAGGCAGGGCAAAAACCTGAACTTCCTGCTTTAAATATGAGGCCACATAATATGAAAAACAAGAAACCCCTATTGCAAAAACCCATCAACAATTACAGATGACTCAAAATGCTTGCAAAAACCCATCAAAACAAGAAAGGTATAGACAACCCATCAACAACAGATGGCTCAAATTGAGAGAAAATGGTATCAATTGACATCATAAGATGGGAATTGTGATGCTTTCGCGAGGACGAAAAGAACAAACAGCTTGAAACATAGCATCCAAGCTAGGCACATAAAGGGCTTTACTTGTAATTTGGAATTGCTAAGCTGTAACTTGCGAATAAACCCTTCTTCTCTGAAACAACCCAAAATCAAGAAATGGAGAAACAAAAGATAAAGTTCTCATCTTTTCAACTCATCTGGAAAATGGGTCGAGTTTGGCGTTGTTTCACTGGTTATTTTGTATCACATTACGAATATTTTGTGTCATGAACTTGTGTAGTGTGCGGGGATTGCGAGTTGCGGCGTAAGCTGCATGCAGAGATGGGGAATGCTGAGGACTCTGCTCTGAGTTGAAAGCTTTGGCGTGTAGAAAAATATGTTGGTCTAAGTAGTACTTATAATTAGGTTGTTTTATTTCTATAGTTTTCGACTATCATTTACTATTAGCAAATCAAACTCAACAACAATTACGGAATGCTATGTTCGATTTTAGCGTGGACATGAAAATTTCTATTTGATCAATCTAAATGAATCAAACACATCGCGGTTTCTCTATCAAAATTGCACAAGTAATTCTATTGAAGTATTGAAACAATCCAATCACCGAGATTAATCAAACATAGTTAAATACGTAGGGTTCGGCATCCCCAGGCTAAAAATAAAAATTAACTAGACCAACATAATAAATATAAAATGAAAGAGAACAAAATCATCATATTTCACCCGATTTCTCTCATGTTTTTGTCCAATTGTTGCTCCCCAAAATATGTTTGTATGTGTCCCCTAATTTCCATGGAGTCCCCCCAACATAAATAAACATTGTATTCTTTCTGTAATAGCAAAAGAGTTTTAGGCCCAACTCACTCTAATTCCTTGGCCCATCTCGCAATTTTCAGCTCCGAAGTTGATCAATACAATCTTGGCCCTATATTGGTGGGCCAAATGACAGGCGATAATGGCATATTCAAGCTCTCGTCAACTATTTATGCTCAAAATAAATATAAAAATGTTAATGTATATAAATCAATCTAAATAATAAATAAGTCAAAAAGATATACATGCGAATAAATTAAACATATATGAATATACTATTAGATATATAAAACACGCACATTTTCTGACCTATCACTCGGTCTGTCCAAATCATTGGGACCAGTCGGGTTGTCAAAGCTAGAGATGAACCGTGCCGACTTGACACTTCTAGTGCTCTAACCAATTTTTTGTGTAGGCTATATTGATAATTTTATATTAGGTTCTTAATTTTAAAATAATATTTCCATTTATTTTCATAACATCTTTATATATATTTCTTAAGTCAACATAAGTGTTAGAACTAGAATTTGTTTCTCATAAAGATGAGAAAGCTAAGAATAAAGAAATATAAGAGAGAGATAACTCAACACTTACTCTAAATAAAATTAAAAATATAACAATTTTCATTTTCAGTATGAAAAAAGAGTGAAAAAATGCATACTAAATACGGAATGAATTTCATATTTATAAATAAGCGGTACTTAAGTTATGGATATATTTAAGAATAAATAAGTATTTAATTATATTGCTATTAGTTTTTTTCTTATATAATATATAAAAACAGTCATGTTTCCACAATTTTTTATTTGATCATATTATATTTATAAAATAAAAAATAAATTATATTTATCTTTATAAAGTTAAGTTCTGAATCAATTCTAATTAGAAAATAAATAAAATTTTTATTTATCAATTAAAATAATTTATGTATCATGTATTTTTTTATGGGGTTTACGTGCCTGAAAATCTACTACAATATGTATCAAGTATATTTTACAGTATGAGTTTGAATATTTATTTATTATAATAGGACGAACGATACTTACGATTATAACTTTTCTAAGAAATATTAAAAAATTTTGAAAAAAATCTTTTATTTTTATTTATAAAAGTTTAGGTTAAATTAATTAATTAACACAATGTATAATACTAATAATGTTACTAGTTACATGTACTAGTATGTAACCCGTGCGATGCACGGACTGTATTTAATTTAGAGAATATTAAATATTAAAATGATTAATAAATAAAAGAGTGATAATTAGTAGGAAAATTATCAAACCATAAAATGTTCCTCATGCAAAAAAATATATTATTTAAACTTTCTTGTACACAACATTATTTGTTCAATAACTGAGCAACTCGTCGTCCTCACAAACTAATATTTTCAACACTTTTATATTACTTACACGCGAAACAAACAACATAATTGTCCGTGACTAAAAATCGATTTCTTTAAAAACATGCCAACGTATAATAAATATTGATCTTGACTCTTCTTGATCTATTACTTAACATGCCAACGCACAATAAATGTTGACATTGACCCTTCTTAACCTATTACTTACACGCGTAATAACATACAATTACTCGTGATAAAAAAAAAAAAAAATTTAAGAACATGTCAATGCACATCTCTTATCTATTATTTACACGTAAAAACAACAACATATAATCGATCGTTGCTAAGAACTGATTTCTTTAATAATATGCCAACGCACATAAAGACTGGCCCTGATCTTAATTGAAACCCTAAGATTTGAAGTAACTGGTGCTCTAGCATTTAAAGGAAATCCTAAGATGGATCTTTTTATAATATGATAATTTACTTCGGCAGTCAGACAATGAGTTGTTAGTTTAATATCGATTATACTTGATTACTATATAATATTCACTAATATTTCTATATTTTTTATACAAAAAGACTTACCATGACTGTTAAACGGAACCCCAAAATCAGAAGGAACTGGTGCTTCTGAACATCTTTCCTATTATATGTGTGACAACTTCTTAGGTAGTAAATCTATATATATATATATATATGTATATATAGATATTGCAATAAATTTGTGTATACAAAAACAAAAAATCGATTTACGATACAAAATTTTAAAAATTTTCTTTTTAATAGCAATTGACAAAAAGAATATTAATAAAGGGAATTGGTCTATATCTAAAAAAAGATTTGTATATCTCATATAAAATCGTTCATTCTCAAAACCTGATACAATGAAAAATATATTTAATTATTAATATAAATATATTTAGATATGAACATAAATTTATATTATGTAATTGTTGGTTCTAATAAATATAATAAAATAAAAAAGAATCCTCACAAATGAGAATTCCAAAATTGACGCCATGTTAATTTAAATATTACTATATTTTTTTTTTTGTGTATGTAACATATATGCTAATCCAAATCAATGATTCAAATAAATCTGCTAAAATAAAAAAGAATCCTTGATAAATAAGAGTTCCAAAATCGGCTACATATAATTATTTACATAATCTTTGCCTACAAAACCACTATCAACGTAATTAAAGAAAACCAAGAATTTATTAAAACAAACACAAACCGAAGTATTAAATATGCGTAGAATATTGTGTGATAATCAACTGATTTAAATAATAACTTTGTTTCCTTTACATAAAGATATCAAAGTATTAAATGAATAATATATTTTTTAATTGAATATTGTAAGGCAAGAGATTCTAAATTCCATATTGATATGGACCTAAAAAAGAGGATATTGTTTTGGATTTTCATTCCATATCATAAAAGGAAAAAAAAATCGGAAAAAACATATCTAATATAATTAGGCAATGACTAATGAAAGTTTGTTACGTTACTATTTTTAAGCTATAATTAATGAATTTGGCGGGAAAAAATTACTAAAAGTGAATTATGTTAATCCTTATTATATATTAATAGATTAGCGCATTATAGCGGAGGTCACGTCTGTCTTATTAAATAAAAGCTACAAATTGCTAATTTTTTTAATTTCTTAGGTTAGTCACTTTAATTAGCATAATTATTTTAATGCTCTAGGGATATTAAAAAAAAATGTATGACTATAGAATGATAGGAAATAAATGGATGAAATAATTATTGTGAAGAAAAATAGTATTGTTTGACTAAGGGCACCCGGAATCTTTGGATCCCCAATCATCGGTTTATTAATTTCAGCTTAATTATTACTAATAAATTCCAATTAACTCGACAAGATAAGCACTTAAATTTTTTAGAAATGCTACGGTGCCGTTACGGAACTATTCCATCGGGGTTTGTAATCGTTAGATCTATTCCTAAATTTTTACGGTGGATCCAAAAATTTAGGCAATTCGATGTTTCTGTACTGTTTCCTCAACAATGTATGAGATATGAGATAAAAGTAAAATTTCAATAAAAACTAATTTTATTGGATTATTTTATTTTCATTTGCGTATAAAAAAATAATGTTACGATAAATATAAATTAATAATATTTCAATTTTTTTTTTATGATTTCCAATTAAGATGTTTTATAAACTATTAATCAACTTATTGATATCAATATAAATTATTCTTTATTCATTTTAATTTTGCACTATGAGTACAGTTAAAAAATAATTAATATGCTATATCCCTCTATATATAATTTCAAAATGTTCTAAATCTAAATGACAGATCAGTACGCTTCGAAATTTTATGTGACAAGTTTTCATGCTTTGTTATTTTTAAACTGCAGATTTTATAAGTACAAGGCAATGGATTTTAAGGCTAAAAGTTCTTACAGACAAAGTAGAAACAACTCTTAAGTAACACAAAGAGAGATTCCTCGTTCACCGCAAAGAAGAACTTTGAAACCCGCAAGC